ACTCGAAAACGGTCGCTTTTTTCGATTTTTTCGTTTTTCAAACTTTTCAGCCGTACATTTCACTTTCAAACTTTTTAAAGGGCATATTCGTGATCAGCTCGACGAGCTCTATTTAACCATGTATAATTCGATAGGATTCATTTTTGGCACGGACCTTTTGAATTAGTGGCACCTTATGTCTTAGTTTGGGTTTTTTCCCGACGTCGTACAATGTATGCTACTTAGAGTACCTCTATTTTCATCCAGAAAATTTTAAGATTTAACATTTGTAATTGTAATAACCGTGATGTGTGAAAACCATTTCATTCTATATCATATGATTTCTAAATAGCGTACGTAACCGCAAAGGGTTTACCCTGATCGCTCGAAAATTCCTCGAACGCTAGTTCTAATTCTCTCTGAACTTCTTCTTTTGTCTCGCGTAAAACTTTCTCAATCCGAAATCGAAAGTGATCACGGTAATATTCTTCTAGACGCTGTCTGTTGTACCTTCACATACTATGAATCAATCAAATCACTTGATAAATGTTTTGATGCTTCATACACCCAACACATCCGTGGATAACTTAATTTATAAAACATAAATTCTTTAAAATTGAGCCATCGACTAACACTATCAACTGTTGCACCAAAGACAGGAGTCTTTGCTAATAGTTGTTGTTCAATTTGTTCCGCAGCTTGAAGTGTCTGTGTAAATTCTTCGAACTATTATTCGAACAAAATTAATTATAAATTTAAATTTAAATAAAATTTAAATTATTCATTATAAATTATTCGAACTGTTAACTATTATCATTTACAAACTACTGTTGCTGCTGAAATTCCATTGTGTCCTTTCATTCTCCTTCTTCTTCTTCGGTCGTAATTGTAATTGGTGAGATCGTAGATATTCTTGCAGTGCGCTAAGTGTATAACTCTAGTCTTAACAATAAGTAGGATCTGTACAGGCCACCAGCTGATCCACCAATCACCTTGATAACGCCATTACCCCAATCTTTCAATATCCCATCCTATAATGCTTGATCTGACACCAGTGTACGAGCTGCGATGAATAACCGGTGACGAGAATGATTTGATCAACCTCGATTGGCTGTTTCAAGTTCAACACCCATTTATTGCCTTTTTGAGTGATTTTTAGAGTGGCATTTTTCGTGCTTAATGACCAGTTTAGATCGATACGTTTCTAATGCTTAACAAGGTGCAAAATCCAGTGTAACTGATTATAGCAGATAGGGCTGTCGGAGTTCCGTTAAGTTTGTACTAACTACTAACGAAAACAGTTAGTAGTTATTTAAACTATGAACTGAAATAGTTAGTCAGTTAGTCAAACTCCTAACTAGAAGGGTTAGTAGTTAGTCTAACCACTAACTTAAACAGTTAGTCAGTTAGTAGTTATACTAACTCGAAGAGTTAGTAGTTAGTCTAACGGCTTGTAACTACTAACTTCTTCAAAAAAATAGCAGCGCTTGGATCTGCTCTATTGGAGTGCGCATGAGAACTAGATGAAATTTTTCTGCTAGTTTTGACGTCAAACA